CTGGCTCCGCCCCCGGCTCCGGCCCGGGCCTCAGCTCGCCCCCTGGGCCGCCCCCGTTTCCTCCCCGGCTCCGGCTCCGCCCCCGGCTCCGGCCGGGGCCCTGGCTCGCCCCGCCCCCGGGCCCGCCCTCTCCCCCCCCCCCCCGGAGCCTGGCGCGCTGGAGGCGGAGGTGGGGTTCTCTGAGCGCGCCGGGGGCCGGCCTGCCGGGGTGGCGCCGTGGGGATGCCGAGGTATAACCTGGCATAGGACAGGGCGCTGACCTTAGGAGTGACGGGAAGACCTGTGATCTCACAGGGGTCTGGCAGCTCTGCGGGGACCTTAGCTCATTTGCTCGAGGGGCATCTTTTCTTGTGGTGTTAGGTCCCCGCATCTCCCCCTTCCGCCCTCCCAACCCCCGCCCGGCATTACTCACAGTAAGGGAGCACTAGTGGCCTGGGGTGAGCTAACATCCTGAGAATTTTCCTGCTCTGTTTTCTAGAGCTTCAGAGCCACCAGGAGCTCTAGACAAAATTGTTGGGGGATGATACGGCTACCGATGACCTGAGAATTGGCCTAAGAATTGTGGATTTGGGGGTCCACAGGGTGAGCTGAGATTGTCCATACTGTGACATTTCTGAGTGGCTTCCTTTTTTTTAATGTTTATTTATTTACTTCGAGGGGGGAGGAGCAGAGAGGGAGGGAGAGAACCCCAAAATGGCTCCATCCCACAACCATGGCATCATGACTTGAACCAAAATCAAGAGTCCTGCCACTCAACCCACTGAGCCACCCAGGCACCCCTCATTTTTGTAAGTTAGGGTAAAATTCGCATAGCATTACATTAACCTTTTTAAAGTGTACAATTGCGGGGGGGGGGGGCGCCTGGGTGGCTCAGTTGGTTAAGCCTCTGACTCTTGATCTGGCTCAGGTCATGATTTCATGGTGGGATCCAATCCCAACTACCACTCCATGCTCAGCATGAGATTCTCTCTCTCTCTGCCCCTCTCCCCTAGCTTATGCACTCTCTCAAATAGAACAATAATAATAATAAAATAAAAATAAAGAAGTTTAAAGTGTACAATGGCATTTAGTACATTCACAGTGTTGTGAAATCCCAGCCACCTCCTAGTTCCAAAATCTTTCCATCACTCCCAAAACCTCCCGCTTGTTATTTAGTTTCTTCTGATCCCCCCTCCCCCAGTCTCTGGCAACCACCAAGCTACTTTTATCTCCGTGGATTTATCTATGGATTTATTTACCTATTTTGACATTTCGAAAAATTGAATCATACGGTATGTGACCTTTTGGGTCTGGCCTCTTTCGTTAGCATAATGTTTTCAAGATTCATCCACGTTGTGGTATCTATTTGCCTTCATTCCTTTTTACGGCTAAACAATATTCTAGTGTGTGTATGTGCCAGTATTTGTTTATCCATCCATTCGGTAATGGACATCTGGGCTGTTTCCTCCTTTTGGTTATGGTCAGTCGTGCTACTGTAAACGTGTGTACATATATTGGAGTACCTTTTTCAGTTATTTTGGGTACATACCTAGGAGTTGAATTTCTGGATCATATGGAAATTCTATGTGTAACTTTTTTTTGTGGGGCTTGAACTCATGACCCTGAGATCAAGACCTGAGATGACATCAAGAGTCGGATGCTTAACCAACCTCTATGTTTAACTTTTTGAGGAACCACCAAACTGTTTTCTGCAGAGGATGAACCATTTTACATTCCCACCAGCAATCAATAGAGTGTTCCGGTTTCTCCATACCATCCAATGCTGTTATCTTTTTATTTAGACAATAATAGAGTAATAATTATCATCATCATCATTATTATTGCCTTCCTAGTGCATATGAAGGGGTACCTCATTCTGGTACCACCGTTAATTAATGGTGGTGACCGTCTTTCGTGTACTTGTTGGGAGAAACATCTAATAGAAAACATCTAATAGAAACGTCTATTCAAGTCCTTTGCCCATTTTTAAATTGGGTTATCTTTTTGTTGTGGAGCAGTATGAGTTCTTTCCCTATCTGGATACCAGCTCCCTATCAGATAAACAGTTTGCAAATATTTTCTCCCATTCCTCGGGTTGTCTTTTCTGACTTTCTGATAGTGTCCCTTACTGCACAAATGCCTTTAGTTTTTATTAAGTCCAGGGGATCGATGTTTTTCTTTCCTTGCTTGTGCAGTGTGATGTCTAACAGTCTGTCATCAAACCCAAAGTCATGAACTTTTATCTCTATATTTTCTTCTAAGAGTTTTATAAGAGCACTTGTATTTCGGTGATTGATCCATTTTGATTTAATTCTTGTATTATGGTGTGAGCCCTGGGACCAGCTTTATTCTTTTGCATATGGATATCCAGTTGTCCAGTACCCTTTGTTAAAGAGACTGTCCTTCATAATTGCCAATAAAAACCCCAGACCCCAAGTGGAGACTAGACTCGTGCTCTTTTCCTTCATGACTCTCCAGGATTCTCCATCAGTCTCTCTCTCTCTCTCTCTCTCTCTCTCTCTCTCTCTCTCTCTCTCCATATATACATTAAAACCTTGGATTATGAGTAACTTGTTCCACAAGTGTTCCACAAGACCAGTAAACATCTCTCAGAAATTTCAACTTGATAAATGAGCGATACCTGGCAATATGAGTAGTATGTGACGCTGAATGTCACATGATCACAACTGAGCCAATGGTTCTTGAAATTTGCTTTGATATACAAGTGATTTCGATGACAAGCATGTTTCTGGAATGAATTATGCTTGTAAACCAAGGTTTTACTATGTATATATTTTTTTCAATAAACTCTGCTTTCATCTCAAATAAATAAATACAGATACTGCCCTTTCGCCAATAAATGGCCTTGGCCCCCTTGCCAGAAATCAATTAGCTATAGACAAATAGGAGAAACCAAATATTTTTAAAAGTCTGCTTCAATGCAAGCTAACCCAAGATGGAAATGGGGTGGACCAGCATGTTGACAGACAAAATAATCTACAAATAATGATCCTTGATACATTAGGGAAATGAATTACAATGAACAAAATTATAAAATAATAAGTTCTTTAAAAGGGAAGGGCACTTAAGGATCACGACAAACTCCAACTCTAACTAACATATGAGTGCCCGCTGTAGAATCCTTAAGGAAGGACTACCCAGCCTGGTTTGTTGCTGTTTCGAGAGCATTCAGTGTTGTACTATAGTGAGAGGTTGAATTTCAGCCCCTAACTTGGAAAATAAAGAGTAGAGTTTGGTAGAGTTTGAGGATTTGTATCAATTCTTCTTTAAGGGTGTCATAGAATTCACCCTGAGAAGAATCTGATCTTGCCTTTGGGGAGATTTTTGATCCATGATTCAATCTCATTTTGGGTTTGTTTGTTTGTTTGTTTGTTTGTTTGTTTTTAAATAGGCTTGCTCCAATTTCCTCTTTCTTCCTGAGTCATTTTCGGTTAGTTGTGTGTTTCTAGGAATTTGTTCCTGTCTTCTAAGTCGTCTAATTTGTTGGTGCACAAGTGTTCATAGGATTCTCTGATAATCCTTTTTCCTTCTGCAAGTGTTACAGTATTGTCCCCACTTTCATTCCTGACTTTAATTATTTGCATCTTCTTTTTTCTCTTAGTTTACCTAAGGGTTTGTCAGTGTTGTTGAGCTTTTCAAATTTTTCATTTCAACTGTTGTATTGAAATGTTTCAGTTTCAACTCCACAGTATTTTATTTGGTTCCTTTTAATGATTTCTAGCTCTTTGTTGATATCTTCTGTTGGTATATATTTTGATTGTTCTCTGGCTTCCTTTAGTCTTCTGTCCAAAGTTTCCTTTGGCTCTTTCAGCATATTTAAGACAATTCATTTAAAGTCTTGTTCTTGGCAAGTCCAATATCTGGGCTTCTTCAGGTATGGTTTCTGTCCATGTCTTTTTCCTCTGAACGAGTCATGCTTTTTCTTTGTTTGCTTTGTAACTCTTTGTTGAAAATCGCAAATCTTGAGTACTATAACTAAAGAAATTAGATTCTGTTCCTCCTTTGGAAGGTTTGCTGTTATTTCTGATTAGGGGTTACAGTCATCCATTTGTTTAGTGACATTTCCAGACTATTTTTTGGAGACTGTATTCCTTATCATGTGTGGTCACTGAAGTCTGTTCCGTTATCTCATCAGTCAACCACTGACCAAACACAGATTTCTTTAAACACCTGGAGCCAAAAAACAAGACCAAAAACAAACAAACAACAAAACAAAACAACCCCCCCCCCACAACTAAAAGAAAACTCTCTTGGTCTTTTCAGATTGCCTCTGAGCTGGACATTTTTGCTCACTTAGCCAGGACACCTGCCACTCTGCCTTAGCCTTTACTTCCTGCTTGCATGGGGCCCAGAGATCAACGAAAGGTGAAAGCCTAGGGTCCTCTCAGGTATCTTCTGAGCATGTGTCTGGCCCTCAGCATATGCTTTACACTCTGGGCTCCCTGGTATATGAAGTAGCCCTTCAGAGACCTTGCTTCCCCAGTGTTTTCGTCCTCAGTCTCCTTTTCCCCAGCCTTTCTGGTTTCTCGGCTGCCTACCCCCTCTGCCCTCACTTGCCCCAGACAGCTATGGGTAGTATATGTCTTTAAATGTTTTCAACAGATGCCCACCTGGGGAGCTGCTCCAGCCAGGCGATGAAGCAAAGGTCAGATCCTTCAGAGACCTGCCGGCCTGGTCAAAATGCACAACCACACTTTTAAAACAAAGTCCATATCAGGGCCCCAGGGATTCAGGCTACTGTCGTCTGGGCTTTTGCTGGGCTGGGGAATGGGAGACGGTAGGCAGGTAAGCAAAAAATGCTGCAACATTTTCTTACTGAATTTAGAGGCTTCTTTCTTCATTAATCATTCCCCTGCTTGCTCTAGGGTTTTTTTTTTTTTTTTTAATTAGATTCCAACGTTCCGAAAAAAGCTGATTCTATCAGTGTTTGCCAGCTTAATGGTTGCTTAAATGGAGGGACTGATGCTTGGGGCATCTTTATTGTCATTTTCCATGACGTCTTCCTGGGTGCCTCACTTTTAGCACTGGTCACTGTCGATTGCAATTTTCTCCTTGACACTGTGCTCTCCGTATTTCCCTCCAGTCTTGTGGACTTCCCTTCCTCTGCCCATCCTCATTTCCAGGCCTCCGGGCGGGGATGGGAGGGTGGTTCTGTCCAAATGGGGACACTCTCATTGGGGAATCCAACCACTCCCAGAGCTGCCACCTCTGTGTTGAGGAAACCCAGCACTGAGTCTCCAGTTTAGTCCTTAGAGCCCCAGACATGTGGACAACTGCCCACAGGCCACTGTAGTGAAGCCATGTAAATAAGTTCTGCCTCAGAGGATGGAAGAAGAAGGGGCATGTCCTCACTCTCATTCTTCTTGCCATCTAGAGTACGGAGGTGGTAGCCAGAGCTCAGGCCGCCATCTTGGACTGTGATGCCCACGAGGATGGAGAAGCACAGAATGGAAGGAGCTCTAGCCACTGTGGAGGCATTAGCCTACCTCCTTTGTCTCAGGGGTGGAAAAACAACCCTTATCTTCTTTAGGTCATTATTTTTTGTTTTGTTTTGTTTTTTTCTTGTTTTTTTTTTTTAAGTGTATTTATTTGAGAGAGACAGAGGCAGCGTGAGTGGGGGAGGGGCAGAGAGAGAGAGGGAGAGGGAGAGAATCCCAAGCAAGCTCTGCACTGCCATCGCAGAGCCCGGCGCGGGGCTCGAACTCACAAAACTGTGAGACCATGACCGGAGCCCAAACCAAGAGTTAGACACTTAACCGACTGAGCCATCCAGGTGCCCCTAGGTCATTGTTGTTTGGGGATTCCCTCACATGCAGCTGAACGGTGCTTGCATAATTCAGCAGACCTTTCCAGCCCCATTCCCCATGCCACCAGCTCCCCTCAACTGCCCTTGTAAAGCATTCACTGCAAGCTAGTACAAGGGCCCGCTCACTTGTCTCTCCCGCTCTCCGAGAACATCTCCAGACCTGGGACTGGTTCTTTCTTGGATTCTTGCCATGAGATCAGCTTCTTTAAGGCAAGAAAGGGAGGGATTGGGAATGATCGCTGGCTGGGTGCCAACTGTGTGCGCTGTACATTTTATTTTTCTTAATTGTTGGAGTGGCCCTGTGAGGGGCAGCGCAGGACTCTTGCTCTCGGGGAAACGGAGGTTCACAGACGCAAAGCTGCTTCTCAGATGCGCATAGATGAAGAGCGATAGCACTAAGTGTGGAACTCGGGTCTGCCTGGCCTGACACAGGCCTCTCTCCACCGCTAGAAGTTTCTGTGTCAGCGCACCAGCCAAGTGACCCTTGACGAATTAATTCCCTCCGTGGTTCTCCTTTAAGGTCATCACTGTCAGCTGCTTTTCACATGCTGGTTTGAGAGGGATCAAGAAATGCCTTCCCAAACCTGCTGTCCTTTGGGAAGGCAGGGCTTCTGCCTCCGGCTTTGGTGTTCAGGACGTTGTATGTTCTTTAATTTTTTATTTTTTAAAAAATGTGTATTTTATTTAGTTTGAGAGAGAGAGAGAGAGAGCACACAAGCAGGGGAGGGGGCAGAGAGAGAGGGAAAGAGAGAATCCCAAGCAGCCTCCCTGCCATCAGCGCAGAGCCTGATGCGGGGATTGATCCCACCAACCAGGAGATCACGACCTGAGCTTAAATGGAGAGTCAGACACCTAACCAACTGAGCCACCAGGGCGCCCCTGTGTATCCTTTTAACACTGGGAGACCATGAGGGATAGTAGAAACCACATGAGCTTGAGAACCAGGTGCACTTGGGTTTAAAACCCATCTGTCCCACTTATAACTGCATGACCCAGGGCGGGAAGGGCATAATGTTATCTGCGGAAGACGGTGGAGAGGATTAAAAGGGAAATAGGGTGGGGCGCCTGGGTGGCGCAGTCACAGTCGGTTAAGCCTCTGACTTCGGCTCAGGTCCTGATCTCACCGTTCATGAGTTTGAGCCCCACGTGGGGCTCTGTGCTGACAGCTCGGAGCCTAGAGCCTGCTTCAGATCTGTGTCTCCCTCTCTCTCTGCCCCTCCCCCACTCACGCTCTGTCTCTCTCTCTCTCTCTCTCTCTCAAAAATAAACGTTAAAAAAAAAAAAAAAGAAATAGGGTAACAGTGGCCAGAGCACAAGTGACTTGTAGCAAATCTGACCTGGCCCCCTGCCTCTACCTCTCTCTCTCCTCTTTTTGGGGTGGGGGTTTGATTTTGTTTACGTTGAAATTGAAAGGACATTGAAATGACACCCTGTATTACTGTTCACAAATATGCTTTATCACTCACTTCTGGGGTGCCATACTTTTCCGCCCGTTGAGCAGGACCGGCGGTGTGCCCCTGACCAATGTCAACGGGAGCGCTACATGCTACATCCGGGCAGAAACGCTAACTCGCTGGCTATGTTTCATCCTGTTCTCTCGTCCTTCCACCAGGAAATCAGCTGTGTTCCAGATGGAAGTTGTTCTACTGGGCTGGGTCCATGGCTCACATATGAAGTCCACGTCCTTCGAGCAATAAATACACCTGCGTTGTTGTATGCCCCTGAGACCCGGAGCCATTTGTCACGCCCACGTAGCCTAGCCTGACCTGATCCGTGCCTTTGACGTTTAGCGTCTCCCGGTTCCATGCGATACTTTTCTTTGTAAACTTTTCTATGCATTTATGGGTTTTGTGGTGGGTAATTTAAATATAAGCGGTTATTTTTCTTGTTATAAAAATTGCACCCGTCGCAGAAAACATTTTTCCGTCTTTTTCTTGTATTTCTTTTGCAATGTTCTTCTCTTTTTCTTTTAGAGACAGAGAGCAGGGAAGAGGGGCAGAGGGAGAGAGAGAGAGAATCGAGCAGGCTCCACGCTTAACATGAAACCCGACTCGGGGTTCAATCCCATGACCCTGGGCTCGTGACCTGAGCTGAAACCAAGAGTAGGATGTTCAACTGCCTGAGCCACCCAGGCACCCCGCCATTTGCTTTCATTGAGAATCTGGTAGACGTTTGTAAAGCTGGAAGCCTTGTTGGCCCCCAGGTCCATCCTTCCTGCCCGGACATGTGCTCTGTGGCTCAGAGTGATAGATGAGGTCTCCAATGAGGTCTTCGGGGCACCTCACACAGCAAGGGGAGCATTCAGGTTGTGAGACATCTCCAGATAGTTGCATGACTAATGTGACCTTCTCCAGTCCGAAGTCTATAGAGTTACTTAACAGCAAGCGGAAAGAACTTCATCACTCAGCACTCCGCTCCCCAGCGAATACCTACTTAGCCGTGTACTTTCGAGGAGATGAGACCAGGTCACCAGTCTTCTTTCTTTCCCTGGGCGCGTCCCTCCAGAATCAGAGGAGGAGTGCGTCACAGGCCAGCAGCTTTGTTTCTTTCTTCCCCACTTTCCATGGCAGCTCTTTGCATTGTATTTGGTGTGTGTGGTGTGGTTTTTGTTTGTTTGGTTTGGTTTTTTGGGGGTTTTTTGTTTGTTTGTTTGTTTTGGACTCTTCAGGGGATCTCTGGGCATGATAATGACCGAGTAGAACGGACAACAGTGATAAACCCTAGACAAAATATTTTAGAAATGTATCATGTTACATTACTGAAGAGCAACTAGAAGGAGGCAGAAGCCGGAGGTATTTGACGGAAGGGAACTGCACTATGGGATCCCGTGTTCTGTGTTTTTCCCCTGGAGGCATCACCAGTCCCTGACAGCCCCCGGTGACTAAAAGTCAGGCAGAAAGGCAGACTCAGCCACATTCAGCCTTCTCCTAAAGGTACAGTCAGGTACGAGACACTGGAGGGAGGAGCCACGAGGAGTGAGCCCCCCAAATCCCCGTGGAAATTCCCTTCAAATCCGCGGTTGCCCCCCAAACTGATAAAGGACAATTTCATGACGATGAAAGAGACAGTTCATCAGGAAGACATCACCATCCTAACTGTGTGTTTTTTTAAGTTTATTTATTTATTTTGAAAGAGAGAGAGAGTACGCGTGCAGGGGAGGGGCAGAGAGAAAGAGAGAGAGAGAGAGAGAATCCTAAGCAGGCTCTGCACGGATAGGGCCGAGCCTGACATGGGGCTCGAACCCATGAACCGTGAGATCAAGACCCGAGCAGGAATCAAGAGCGGGGCGCTTGACAGACTGAGCGACCCAGGTGCCCCCAACCGTGTATTTTCCTGGCACCAGAGTTTCCAAGCACTTGAAAGAAAACCCGAGAAGTAAAGGGAGAAATAGGAAACACGAGGATGGCTGGAGAGCTTACCAGACCTCCCTCAAGAACTGATGGGATGGACCCCCCTCCCCCGCCCCCGAGCACACAGAGCAGCAACGATAAAGGTTTAAACAACGCACACCGCTCCTGTGTGTGTGTCCTTTGCTCGCCCATACCACCCTCACGGCTCTTGTGACACCACCTAGGTGGGAGACTTCCCCACACCAAACGATTCTGGGCAACACCAGCTGCGTGTCCCACACTTCAAGTCAGTTCTGACGCTGCCTACCCAGAGATCGCGTCGGGCCCCACAGGTCCCAAGCCCTTCGCTCCGTCCCCCGACCCTGTCCCCCACTTCAGAGGCCAATCACCGGCAGTAGGTCCCCGGGTGACCCACAACTTCCGCTCGACTTGGCTATAAATAGAAGGTTCCCATGATCTCCCTCCCTTTGGATTTCCTTATTTGTCAGAACAGCTCGCAGAGTTCAGGGAAACACGTTCACCAGTTTATGAAAAGATTAGATAAAGGGGTACAGATGAACAGGCAGATGATGAGATACATAGAGCGAGGCCCGGACGGTCCCAGACGCAGGATCTTCTGTCCCCGTGAGGCTGGGGTGAGTCGCCCTCCCAGAAAGTGGATGGGCTCGCCAACCTCAAAGCTCTATTGGGATTTTTTTTACGGAGGCTTCACCATGGGGGCACGCCCAACTATGAATTCCATTTTCAGCCCCTGTCCTCATTCTCCAGAGAAGGGAGAGGGGCTAGAAACGGAGCCAATGGCCCATCACGCCTCCGTGGTGAAGACTGGCAAAACCCCGCAAGTATGGGGTGAGGAGAGCTTCCGGGTTGGCGAACACGTGGAGGTGTGGAGGGAGCGCCCATATCCCCTACCTTGCACATCTTTTCCGTCTGGTTGTTCATCTGCGTTCTTGACCACACCCTTCTGTCAGAAACCGGTCAACAGGAAGTAACCCGCTTTCCTGAGTTCTGTGAGCCGCTCCAAGAAATCGGCTGAACCCCACGAGGGGGTTGTAGGGAGCTCCCATCTATAGCTGGTCAGCCCCAAGCCCGGCGCTTGGAGGAGGACTGGGGTTTTCTTTAAAGCCACCTAAAGGCATACTCAGGTTCCAGGGATCGGGACCCGGTATCTGCGGGGCCCATTGTTCAGTCCACCACGGGCCAACCCCCAGCCCTCAAAGCTTCACGTCCGTCCCATGTGCAACACGCTCACCCCATCCTAATAATCACCAGCCCCCCCCCAACTCTCAACCCATGGCAGCGCCTACTCTAGCCCCAAATCTTGTGTAAATATCATCCGTTCAAAAGTGATCATCACGTAGATCATCTTTTCTTTTAACTTTTCTTTTTAAGTTTGTTTATTTGTTTTTGAGAGAGAGAGAGGGAGTGCTAGCAGGGCAGGGTAAGAGAGCGAGGGAGAAAGAATCCCAGCCTCGCTCCTCGCTGTCAGTGCAGAGCCCAAAGCAGGGCTCGAACCCATGAACCGTGAGCCCATGACCTGAGCCGCAACTGAGTCGGACACTTCACTGGCTGAGCCCCCCAGGCGCCCCTCATCACGTATATCGTCTTCATCAGGTAGGGGCGAGGCTCCAGGGGACGGTCCATCCGGTCCGTCCGGGAACAAAGTTCCTCTCCATCTGTGGACGGGTGAAACTAGAAAACGAGTTATCTGTTGCCAAAACACAGCGGTGGGACAGACACAGGATGAGAGGCGTAGACATTCCTGTTCCGAACGGGAGAGGTGGGAAGGAAGAAGGGAGTCACCAGTGCCAGGAGATGTTGAAATCCAACGGGGCAAACTCCGTTAGGTCGTAAGGCCCAGGAAGGATCCTTTGTGGCTCGAGACACCACCCACCCACTCCGGGCCGTCTTCCTTTTTCTCGAAGGGGAGCATGCTGGCAGCTGAGAAGATTTACCAGCCTGCTTCCTGCCTGTAGAATTTGGGGAGTCTGATAGCCTCCTTGCACTCCATTCTCTGTCCCTTTGAGCCTGGGCTGGCAGGCTTCGGCTGGTGTAGCATTCTCGGAGGCCCCGTGCACGTCCCCAGGGTGCGCGCCATTGGACGAGGGGTTCCCCCCAGAGCTTCCCTGAGTTCTCCTGCCTCTGTTCTTGGCCCCTGCTCCAGCGGCTGACTGGATCATGAGTCACATCTCTCTCCAACACCAGCAAGTAGCTGTGCAGCCACACCCATGGCCTCCCCTCCAGGCTCCGCTTTCTGGGCAACGAGCAAATCTCCTAATTTTCGCATGTTTTGTAGTCTAGGTGGCTTGAGAGTTTCCCAAATCATCAAGCCTTGGCTCTTTTTTTTTTTTCTTTTTTTTAACCTTATTTATTTTTGAGAGAGAGAGACAAAAGAGTGAGAGGGGGAAGGGCACAGAGAGAGAGAGAGACAGAGAGAGAAAGAGAATGTCAAGCAGGCTCCACGCCGGCAGCACAGAGCCCGATGCAGGGCTCAAATTCACAACCCATGAGATCACGACCTGAGCCGAAACCCAGAGTCGGACGCTCAACCGACTGAGCCTCCCAGGTGCCCCAACTTTTTTTTTTTTAAGTTTATTTATTTAAACAATCTCTACCCCCAACGTGGGGCTCGAACTCACGACCCCAAGACCAAGAGTCACGTGCTCTACTGAGTGAGCCGGCCAGACAAGCCAAGCCTTGGCTCTTTTTTATCTCGAGAGTTCTTCCACCCCTGTCTCTGTTACCTCTTGAATTTTACTAAAAGCAGCACTTTTTACACATATTATCTATTACAGATGCTGAATTGCCAATTTAAAAACCTTCCCACAAACACGACCCCACGGCCAGATGGCTTCCTCGGTAAGTTCCATCCGACATTTAAGGAAAAAATACGAAGGCCAATCTTACGCAAACCCTTTCGGAAAACAGAGGAGGAAGGAGTAGTTTCTGATGCCAGCGACAATCCTGAAACCAAAGAAAGTTACAAATCAAGGTCCCTCAAGAACATGGATACATACGTCTATAACAAAATAGTAACAGACTGAATCCGCAATGTATAAAAAAAAGTAACACTCTATTCTAAATGGGATTCATCCTATGGGCGCAAGGTTGTTATCATTTGGGAAAATCAATCGTAATTCACCATATGAATGGAATAAAGCAGAAAAACCATACGACCACCTCAGTAAATGCGGAAAAAGCATTTGAATAATTCAACACTCATTCATAATGAAAGTCTCACAAAACCAGGAATGCAAGACAACTTCCTCATTCTGATCAACACTATCTATGAAAAACCTATAGCTAATATACAGAAAGGAGAAATACTGAATGTTTTCCCTTAAGACTGGGGTAAACGGGCAGGAATGTCTGTTCTCAATCCTGTTCAGCCTTATGCTGGACCTCCCAATGATTGCAAACAGGCAAAGAAAAATAAATAAAAGGCATCACGATTAGAAAGGAAGGAGAAAGGGGCACCTGGGTGGCTCAGTCAGTTGAGTGTCTCACTTTGGCTCCGGTCACGATTTCTCGGTCCTTGAGTTCGAGCCCCGCGTCGGGCTCTGTGCTGACAGCTCGGAGCCTGGAGCCTGTTTCCGATTCTGTGTCTCCCTCTCTCTGACCCTCCCCCATTCATGCTCTGTCTCTCCCTGTCTCAAAAATAAATAAAACGTTAAAAAAAAAAACTAAATATATAAAAATTTTTTTTGAAAAAGAAAAGAAAGGGGGCGCCTGGGTGGCTCGGTCGGTTAAGCGTCCGACTTCGGCTCAGGTCACCATCTCACAGTCCGTGAGTTTGAGCCCCGCGTCGGGCTCTGTGCTGACGGCTCAGAGCCTGGAGCCTTCTTCGGATTCTGTGTCTCCCCCTCTCTCTGAACCTCCCCCGTTCATGCTCTGTCTCTCTCTGTCTCAAAAATAAATAAACATTAAAAAAAATTTTTTTTAAATAAAAAGAAAAGAAAGGAAGGAGAAAAATTGTATTTACATCTGACATAACCATCTATAAGGCATTTACAAAATAACCACTAGAACTACTAAATAAGTTTAGTAAAATCATAGCATACAAAGCCAACATACAAAATTAAGTGTATTTCTATATACTTACAGCAAGCAACTAAAAATGAAAAAATTGAAATCCCCCCTTTTTTAAAAAAATTTTTTTTCTTAATGTGTATTTATTTTTGAGACAGAGAGAGACAGAGCATGAACGGGGGAGAAGCAGAGAGCGAGGGAGACACAGAATCGGAAGCAGGCTCCAGGCTCCGAGCCATCAGCCCAGAGCCCGACATGGGGCTCGAACTCACGGGCCGTGAGATTGTGGCCTGAGCTGAAGTAGGACGCTTAACCGACTGAGCCACCCAGGCGCCCCATACCCCACTCCCCTTTTTTTAAAGTAGGCTCCACACCCAGGGCAGAACCCAACATGGGGCCTGAACTCAGGACCCTTAGATCAAGACCTGAGCTGAGATCAAGAGTCAGATGCTTAACCAACCCAATCACCCAGGCACCCCTAAAATCCTTTTTTTTCATATTTATTTATTTATTTATTTATTTATTTATTTATTTTTGAGAGACAGAGAGACAGAGACAGAAAGAGACAGAGAATCCCCAAGCAGTCTCCGTGCCATCTGCACAGAGCCTGACGTGGGACTCAAACTCACATACCGTGAGATCACGTCCTAGCCGAAACCAAGAGTCAGACACAACGGACTGAGCCACCCAGGCTCCCCTAAAATCCCGTTTTAATAGTATCCGAAACAAGAAAAAAAAATACTTCAGAAAAAAATGTATCAAAATACAAGCAAGAACTCTACCATGTAAACCACATGACAATCAGGAGAAAATTCAAGAAAACCTAAATACACGGAGAAATGTATCACGCTTATGGACTGGAAGATGTCGATTCTCTCCACATCGATGTATAAATTCAATGTCATACCAACCACAGTCTCAATTAAATTAAATTTTTTTGGTAGAAACCGATAGGTTGATCGAAAAATCGCACCAGAAATGTAAAGAACCTAGAGTAGCCAAAACAATCTTGAAATAGAACCAGAGGACTCACAGAACCTGATTTCAAGACTCCCGTAAAGCTACAGTAACCAAGACAGGATGGTGTTGGCATATAGGCAAATGGATCGATGGAACAGAATAGGGTCCACTCCTAGATAGTCAATTAATTTTTGACGAAGATGCCAAGGCAATTCAATAGGGGAAGGAAAGTCTTTTCAACAAACAGTGCTGGAACTAAACTCGTTCCCTATCTCTAACACCAGAAAGCTTCTGGGAAATTTTTTTTAATTAATTAATTAATTAATTAA